TGTGAGAGAGGAAGGAAGCTTTCACCCAGAGGGTGATAGGAATGTGTAATTCACTGCCTGTAAGTGTGGTGGAAACCCTCATAATATTCAATAACTCATTGAACATTGTAGATGATAAAAATTGTTTTGATGAACAAAAAGTTTCCCCAGACCTCTTAATCTGATACTTAACATAGCACATTGAATGCATTATTTGGATGTGGTCATTGAATAATAGAACTGTAACATGTGACTGCAGAAGAAATGTTCCATTATAAGTGATGTCTACAATTCCAAAACTTCAGATATGCTCTTTTGGACTTGTTGATTATGTTAATTTCTTACTGCATTGAGGTATTACATAGGAACTCTAGCTTGACATTCTCTTATTAATATCTTTTGCTAAGATAAAACATGAAAGCGATGATACTTTCCTTGATCTACAAAATATAAGCTGGTTGCCTTATAAAGGTGTCTAGCATTTGCAGAATTCCATTATTGTATTGAATTTCCAGATCCTGATACTGAGAAATAAATGGTGTCTCTGCTCCTCCAGTATGGAACGCACTGTCTTGCATTTAGCTGAAGTGTAGTAAGTTGGTAGACCTAACAATTCAGGGCACTGCAAAGTGTTTGCATCCAGGGTACCTTTCCCATTGTATTTGGTTCGCAAAATTATTTAGAGTGAGTGGGAAGATTTTAAGTTCATGGCACTGATCTGCTAAATCCATTACAGAGTTACTCAGCAGTGCATTGGATATAAATGGGCCTGCCTGCTTCAGTTGTCAAATTAGTGAACGTGCTAAGGATCCAACAGATTTCAAACTTTTCTGTTGAATGTAATTTTCAAGTCACCTCAGACCTGACATTGTACAGTGGGTAAGGACTGATGTATGCCATTCCACCTCTTAAGCCCATTTTCACCCAGTTTTCCCTTCAAAATGCCATTTCATTCATTAATAATCAACATAGGAATTTAATGACTTGGATCTATCATGCTTATACTTTATGGGAACATTGTCCATTCAAATTGGCCAAATTATCCATCACCTGTTAATTATTGATTTCTTAAATCCTGTAAAGTACAGATTAAATTGCTTGTTGAGTTTCAAATAGGAAATGAATAAAATTGCTCAGACAACTTTTCAGGTTTTTTAAACAGTTATGGAAGGGTTAAAAATATATGTTAAGACAGATTCAAACTTTTCTTAAAAGAATTTGAGGATATCCAGAGTTGCTAAAATACTCCAATACTGTCTATCCAGCATATTTAAGTCCAGAGACCAAGTTTGTGATCTGAGGCCTCAGTTTCATATTTTTCTGGAATTTGCTTTGTACATAGTTGTACTCCTCATCAAATTATTTTGGACCATTGCAGAAAAATAGTTCATTTTCCCCAAGAGGGGGTGGCATGGTGGCTCAGTGGTTAGCATTGCTGCTTCACAACAGCAACAACTGGGGTTCAATTCCATCCTCGGGTGACTGTCTGCGTGGAGTTTGCACATTCTCCCCATGTCTGTGTGGGTTTCTGGCGGGTGCTCCAGTCCAAAAATGTGCAAGTTAGGTGGATTGGCAGTGCTTAATTGACCCATTGTGTATAAGGATGCATAGGATAGGTGGATTACCATGGGAAAAGCAGGCTTACAGGGATAGGGAGAGGATGCAGGGACTGGATGGGATGCTGTTCAGGAGGTTGGTGCAGACTTAATGACTGAATGGCCTCTTTCCACACTATAGGGATTCTATGATTCTAAAAGGACTGGTCAAACTTTAATTGTGGGTACTCATCTCACATCCTCTCTACATTTAAAATTATCTTTATTATCTTGTGTCTTTTATCATCACCATTTCCCACTATATGCTACTACCCCTCTCTACAGGTCAGTTCATTTCTTGTTCCAAACCATAGCTGATACACAACATGAGTTAACATTAAATATGCAACACTTGGCCTTATTTAAGCCCAAGCCTGTGTCGTACCTAAGTTTAAGTTTCACACTACAGCACCTTCCAGTCCTCCTTTCCTCAGAATGTAAGAATGCATTTATGAATACACAACATTCTCTTCTCCCCACATTGTTTAAGAGCACTTCAGTCATCTCAGTATCCATTCATCCTCTACTCCAATCTTACTTCCCGCACCGTACTCATATCCAGTTGAATTTAATTACCAGAGATAGTAGGAACTGCAGATGCTGGAGATCCGAGACAACAAGGTGCAGAGCTGGATGAACACAGCAGGCCAAGCAGCATCATAGGAGCAGAAAGGCTGACGTTTTGGGCCTAGACCCTTCATCACTTCAATGCACCACCCTGTTCCCTGGCCAACATCTCTGTCTCCGGCTTGCTACAGTGTTCCAGTGAAGCCCAACGCAAGCTGGAGGAACAACACCTTATTTTCCGCTTGGGGACCCTACAGCCCTCCGGACTCAACATTGAGTTCGATAATTTTAGGGCCTAAACTCTCTCATGTCCCAGCCCCCCAACCCACACACCAGGCCCTGTTACCACATAGCCTGCCACTACACACCCACTGTTGTTAGTCACTAACAGTCCCCATTAACAACTACTCACCCTCCCAACCTGATCGTTAGCAACTCCTTTGCCTGTCCAACTGTCTTTCTCTCTCTTTGGGCTCTATCGTATCGTTTACTCCCAACCCCACCCACCTCCCTATTTTCTGCATATAAACTGACGTTTTCCCAGCCACTATCAGTTCTGAGGAAGGGTCACCGGACCTGAAACGTCGACTCTGTTTTCTCCTTCACAGATGCTGCCAGACCTGCTGAGCTTTTCCAGCAACTTTGTTTTTGTTCCTGATTTACAGCATCCGCAGTTCTTTTGGTTTTTACACTAGGATAATTCCTGGTATGGAGGGGTTGTCTTATGAGCAAAGCCTAAACAGGTTGGGACTCCACTCACTGGAGTTTAGAAGAATGGGAGATGATCTTATTGAAACATAATAGAATTCTTAAGAGCTTGACAGGGTAAATGCTGAGAGGATGTTTCTCTCATGGGAGAGTCTAGGACCAAAGGACGTAATGTCAGAATAAAGAGGTGCCAAATTTTGATAGAGATGAGGCGGAATTTCTTCTCTCCTCCCCCCATCTCTGTAATCTCCTCCCATCTTACAAACCAAAGATGTTTGTGCTCACCAATTTCTATCCTGCCCTCAGTGTTAATGCTGTACGTATGGTGGTTGTGCCTTCAAAAGCCTAGACCAAAAACTCTGGAATTCTCTCTCCAAATCCTCTCCACCTCCCTATTTTCCTCCTTTAAGATACTCCTTAAAACCTAAATCATTGACCAAAAGCTTGGTTATCTTCACTAATATCTCGTTATGTGACTTTAGTGCCAAATTTCTCCTGGATCATTGCTCCTTGGAAGCACCATAGATTTTTTCTTACAGTAAAGACACTTTATCGATACAAATTATTGTTGCATCACCTCATACTACTCAATATTGAACTTCATCTGCCGTGTATCCAGCTATTCCAACACCACATGTTCTCACTGTTTAGTGCAACACATAGGATGCAACCATAATATATAACACAAAGCAAAGGTATATACACAGCCAATATGTGGGAGTTATTATTTGTACAGGCAAATCAGCCTGTATGCATAAGATACTGTGTAACGTCGCAGTAGTATTATATGTAACAGTGAGCGTACACCAGATAATATGATTAAAGCCATCACATGGTGCCTCCTGTAACACTCTGCATCCTCTCTAATCTCCCATTGGAGTTCATGCATTTTGTGCACTTCCATACAATCCAACACTCTTGAACATTGACCCAAACATTTTGACAGTAAATCAGTCAATGTCCATAAGCAGCAAGACCTAGACAATATCCAGGCACACAAATGCCAGGTGATGGCCATCTCCAATAAGAGATAATCTAACCATTGCCCCTTGACATTCAGTGGCGTTACAAATGCTGAATTCCTCACCATCAACATCATAGAGTTGTATGATTATTTGTAACATCTCAGGGTTACCATTGACCAGAAACTGAACTTGACCTGCCATGTAAATACAGTGGCTACAATAGCAGATCAGGGGCTAGGAATACTGCAGTCAATAACTCACCTCCTGACTCCTCAAATCCTGTCCATCATCTACAAAGCACAAGTCAGGAATGTGACAGAATACTGCCCATTTGCTTAGATTAGTGCAGCTCCAACAACATTCAAGAAGCTTGACATTGAGGACAAAGCAGACTGCTTGATTGGCACTCCACAAGATGACAAAACTTATCAGGATCTGAATGTTCAATCAAGTCTCCTCTTACTTTCTAAACTCCAATGGAACAAACTGAGCCTGTCTAACCTTTCCTCATAAGACAAGTTCTTCATTCCAGGTATGTGTTTGGTAAACCTTCTCCAAATAACTTCCGAAGCATTTACATCCTTTCTTAAGTAAGGAGGCCAATAGTGTCACAGTGCTGCAGATGCAATCTTACCAGTGCCCTGTATAACAGAAGCGTAACCTTCCTACTTTTATATTCAATTCCTCACACAATAAATGACAACGTTGTATTAGATTTAAGATTCATGCACTAGAGCACCCAAAACCCCGACCCCTACATATCAGAAACATCTGCAATCACCATTTAGATAACATGCTCTTTTTTCATTCTCGCTGCCAAAGCGGACAATTTCACATTTCCCTACGTTATACACTATTTACCAGATCTTTGCCTAATCACCTTATTGACATCCTTTTGTAGCTTCGCTACATCTTCTCTACAATTTATTTCTGTACAATAAGTTGACTTGGCAACCGCAGGGTCAGGATCATCGATACCACTGCTATCAAGTGTGAACAGTTGAGGTCTCAGCCTTGTGGCACACACTACTCCGGGTATTACTTGATGGTACAACGGAATGAATTGTCCCTGCCATTTAAACATGTGGGACTGTGTGCCTGACATTTTTTTGTCGATGACAGCCCAGTAAGAAAGCACACTGAACTGCTAAACAAGTTTCAGTTTGACTGGGAGCAGTGGATTTACCTTGAGGGCCACTTGGCAGTGTCTAGGGGTCCACTCCACTCGGTAACATTCGGCCAGGCTCTGGTTGATGGGTTCCAGCAGGATCTGCAGCTCACTCACGCCGTCCCAGCTGGAGCACAGGCGGCTCTGGTTGAACCAGCAGCGGTTGGTAAGGAGCGTGTGTCCGGAAAGTGGCAGGTGCCGAGGCTGGATGAGGGCGAATGACTGCTCCCCGAGCACGGAGCGAAGGGCCAGCGCTGACTTCTTGCTGTGCCACAGCAGCCCGCTGAGCTGGCCCTTCATCAGCCAGGCAGGCTCTGGCCGTTCGGCCACTTGCCAGTACAGTACCCCGATGGTCATGAGAAAGAGCAGGGCCACCCCAACACAGCCCAGAGCCCCTTTCCACGGCTCACTCATCTCCCGGCTGCCCGCCTCCAGGCTACACTCTGTACCCGGGCTGCTCGACTCACCGCGCCGCCGTGCCATCCCCTGGAGGGCAGCCCTGCCCCAGAAAGCGAGTTCGGGACCGCCTGGGCTGAACCCCTGTCCCCGGTGAGAGAGCCCGGGACCGCCCGGGCTGAACCCCTGTCCCCGGTGAGAGAGCCCGGGACCGCCCGGACTGAGCCGCTGAGAGAGCCCGGGACCGCCCGGACTGAGCCGCTGTCTCCGCTCCGCGAATGAGTGCAAGATTCTGGCACCGTCTCACTGTCCGCACTCACTCACACAGCACTCAGCACATGACCCAGACTGGAGCCGGACCAAAACCAGAGACAGATCCGAATTAGAGATAGACAAGGACTGGGAAAAACATTCGGACATAGACCCCGATTGGAACCAGATTGGAGATAGACATGGACGAGAACCACATCAAAACAGACGGGGACTAGAACCAGCTGAGATACAGACCCGGTCTGGAACCAGATTGGAGATAGAGCCAGACCAGATTTAGATCAGATCTACTGGGACAGGAAACAAGTCAAAGATAGGCCCGCAGTGGATACAGAGCAGAGATAAACCCAAACTGGAACTAGATGGAAAGAAGATACAGAATAGAACCAGATCAGCATTAGACCCAAACTGAAACTGGAGCAGAGATAGTCATGAACACGATAGATAGATCAGGAACATGATGTAGACTGGAACCAGATCGAGATAGACCCAGGGTGGATCTTATTCAGAAATAGACCTGGACTGGAACCAGATCAGAGACAGTCCTCGCGTGGATCCAGATTAGGGGTAGACCGGACTGGAACCAGCTCAGACATAGATCTAGAGTGGGTCTGGATCAGAGATAGACCTGGGAAAAGAACAGACTAGAGACAGGTCCAGAATGGACTTGGATCAGAGATAGACCCAGACTGGAACTGTTCAAAATCAGATAAATGACCAGCATGGAACAAGATCAGAGATATCCTGGACTGGACCCAACCAAGGTCAGAGATACACGTCCACTGGAACTGAACCAAAAGTAGACATAGATGTGGATTGGAGCCAGAACAAAACCAGAGACACATCCAGAGTGGAACAGGGTCAAAATTGGAGACAAACTCAGTTTGGAACCAGTTCAAAATGAGAGATGGACTCAGACTGGATCCAATCAATATACATAGGGCTAAATGATTTGTAGCCCGACTGCCTTTACCAGTGAATGAAAGTGGCCCAGTAGTCCAACAACAAAAACAGGAGTGGGGTATCGCCACCAACATCAGAAGAGGTTGGGTTTCTTCTTGTCAGCTCATTGTCATGTTTTAAACCTTTACCTTTGACAATCACAAATAGTGACTCTCAGCTCCCTATGTCTCAATCAGTGTTTTCACTTGCACAGATATCCTGTGTTACAGTTAGCAAGTGGCCAGACAAATCTTGGTTAATTTGTGTCTGGCGCTCTGAATCCCAACTAGGTGGCAGCATAGCACTACCTTCAACTTTCTCTTGGTTTTTGACTGCCAAATTTGATCAACAGAGCTGAAATGTTCTTCTTATCACTACGCTGTCTCGATCATTTTGATTAACTTGTTCAGAAGTGTATTATACACCCATGCAGCACGAACTCTGGCCTTCCAAATGAGAGTTAGGGAAAATACCACTGCATGATAAGAGCCTTTGCACAATGCTTTTGTCACACTAATTGTCAGATTTTAGGACTTCAATTTGTAAGACAATTTGGGAGTTACACTCTGAGTTGTTTGGATACAAAGTGAATCTGCACATATTTAAACAGACTGTACACTGCAAGGGGTGGCACGGTGGCTCAGTGGTTAACATTGCTGCCTCACAGTGCCAGGGATCCGGATTTGATGCCATCTTCGGGCGACTGTCTGAGTGGAGTTTGCACATTCTCCCTGTGTCTGCATGTGTATCCTCCAGGGGCTCTGGTTTCTTCCCACACTCTAAAGAGGTGCAAGTTAGGTGGATTGGCCATACTAAATTGCCCCTACTGTCCAGAGATGTGCAGGCTAGGTGGATTAGCCATGGGAAATGCAAGGTTACAGGGATAGGGTAAAGGGGTGGGGCTGATTGGGATGCTCTTCGGGGGGTCGGTGTGGACTTGATGGGCCAAAGGGCCTGTTTCCACACTATAGGGATTCTATGGTAATAAAAATTCTGAAGAAGCAGGCTGAATTTTTATTTGCCTGACCTGTTGGGTATTGTATTTCACAGGATTGTTAAAACATGGGGAAATGCAGACTGCAAGGTGGGTTTTAGGGCTGCAGGGGCTAGTATTGATTAGTGGGAATAAGACTGTCAGAAAATTGCACCCACTGCTAGCATCTGAAGTTTAAAAGGGGTGCCCATGAAGGTCATGAAGGTCGGCAAGCACATGGAGGTGGATGATGGAGACTTGGCGCAGGTTCAAACACGAGCAACAGGATTTAGGATGAGATGCTGTTTATGGAGGGTGGAATACATGAGGCAACACAGAAATTGTTAAACCTGTTGGTGATAAAGGTACGGATTATGTTAGAAACAATAATTGGAAAAAAATGTCAATAAGCTCTCAGTGAGGTTTGCATTAATTGAGAAGAGCTGGCATGGTTTTGAATTTTTGATGTAGTAATAGAGAAGATTGATGAAGGGAATGATATTTCTATGGATTTTAAGAAAGTGTTTGACAAAGTACCATATCAATATCTGGCCCACAATTCAATATCTATATACTTTGGTGTCAATGCTTTGAATGTCTGTGGCACTGTAGGATGTACATCAGGAAACAAACTGTTGTACCACCCTGTATGGCTGCCAGGGCTTGCAGTTATTGCCCTGCCAGTTTGGCCTCTTTGCTTGACACATATTTGAGATAGACCCACATCAAAATCAAAGATAGACTTGGATTGAATGTAGATCAGGACTAGACCCAAGAGAAGCGGATTTGATACTTGTGCTCAACCAGCCTGTGTAGAGCACCTTGACTGAAACAATTTTGGATGTTAGTTTCTGTTTGTCACAGACCTGGGAGCGAAGCAGTTGAAAACTGAACTTCCAGAAGCCTGCAGTGAAGGATAGGTTTCTCCCCACGAAAAAGGAAAACCCCAGCAGTTAAGAAAAGCATCCAAGTAGCCTGTAACAAAGACAGGTATCTCTCCTGGAAAAGGGAGGAAGAAAAAACCCATGTCCAGTTATGGAGAGATTTGCGAGGAACCATTCTCTCTCTCTCTTGCGGAGTAAAGGATAACACTCAAAGACTCTGAATTAAAAAGCCTGGGGTCTAACTGACTGGCTATTCAAACTGGAGATTGCAGTTGCCTGGAGAGCAATGGTGCAATGTGATCCCAGTGGTGGAAACCAAAAGAACTGAGGAAGTCACCTCATTCCACCCTTTGTAGTTTGGACTCTTCATGATCAACAGGATTTTAACTTTTTGTCCAATTTTTTTCTTAAAAGGTTTTTTGAGATTTGAAAGAGTTTTCTGTTCAGAGATATTCCCTTCACAGCTGCTGTTCAGCACTGTGATGCTTTCTCCCTGGCTGTTCTTAAAGTTATACCAATGATTTTTTTGAAAAAAAATTATATTTTGAATTCTTCATTTCGCCTGATGATCTTAGATCTGTTTCTTGATCTTCATTGTTGCATTGTTCCAAGTCTTCTTGGCACTATATCCTGTAACTGCCACTATCTTTCATCCTGTGATTTGATGCCACATTTTGAGTTTGGGTTTGAGATGGACTGATTGAGGAGAAGGAAGAATCAAGAACTGTCTTCAGGCCTGGATGTCACAGTGACTCTTATACATTCACAGTAAATGTAGTAATCATAGATATAGCAGATTCTGAATTCCAGTCACATTAGGTAAGGACTAATCTATCTTCTTGGTGTTGTCTGGTTTGGCATTTCTTCCAGAGTCTTTAGAGATCTAGTGTGCTCCTCTTCTGCTTACGCTGCTTTTTGTATTCAGTGATGTACAAATCCTTGACATCATTGTCAGGTTGTTCCAGGGTCCTGATACCCTTACACAACAAGAACTGCTTCCAACACATTTACATCCTTCTTTATTTAGTGGGAGCTCCAGCAGCACATATTGACAGCAAGGGAGTGCAGCTGGAGCAGTTGGAAGGAGTCTCACTGAAAACAAATGTATCTTTGGTGGAAGGACAGTTGATAGGAAGGGGAAGAAGATATAAACAAAGGATTCCCCAGCCCAATGTAACCCACAGGCTTTGGTCCGTATACATAGTTCCCTGTTCATTTTTAACTTCCTTTCTGGTTTGCAATGACCTAATGCCAGTGGAATAAAGAATCTCTGCTTCAGGATTTTTGGGCTTTCTGTATGTTCAAACCTAATGCTCCATTCCTGGCAAAGTCGGCAGGATTCCACAGCACAGGCATCAAGTCATGGTGGATGCTGGGCCAAGATGGAGCAGATGCTGGAGGATTTGAAACTGGTAATGATCATGAGGGAGGCTGAAGCTGCTCTGGTATTGTTGGAGGCCCAGGAACTGGGGGACGGAATTGGATCTTTCAGCCAAACCCAGAAAGATATACCACTTACTGATGAGTAGAAAGCTGGACAGATTCGGGAGAAGATTGGAACCACCTGATGATCCTGCAATTGAGGACTGGATTGAGGGTACAGAGCTGTTCATGGCATCCAGAGGCCTCAATGCTGGTTAATAGGTGTCATTTGTGATGGAACATCTGTGTTGGAAAGTCCATTTGGAGGAGGTGCAGATGTTCATCGAAGTCTGCGTAGGATCTTTGAGGTACTGACCAGGTTCTTGTGGACAGCAGTGGCCTGACACAGCTACAGCAGAGGCCTTATGTGGACAAGTGAGCTGAAAATAAGAATCTGGCTTCCTCACCTCTGGAGGTGGTGAAGTTGTTTGATCACATTGTCCTCCTGAATCCCTCGCTTTGATCAACCAAGGACAGAACACTGAAGGACCACATAGTAGATGCAGTGAAGGTACATATAGAATTGAGGAGGCTTAATAGTGACATCCCTCAAATATCTTTCTTTGAAGCATCAGAATCACAATATAAGGATCATGGGAATAGATCAGACTCATAAGACCAGGAGAGAGGCAATAATCAGGGTGGTGACTGTCTGTGTGGACAGGGATGTAGATCTCAGAATGAAGAGATTGCTGCACTGCAAGCTCATATCCAGTCCTTGCTGTCCTATCTCCGTGGTTACCTTCACAAACAATATGCCCAAGGGATGCTCTAAAAAGGTATTGGAATTGTGAAAGGGCTAGGCACTTCAAGCAGAA